AAACACTACCGTGCATGCCAGTCTGAACAAAATCACAAGATTAAGTTTAAGGCGTAGAGATATTTATAACTCACTTGTCATAAGTGTTCCCAACGTGAAATAGACCTCCCACGTAGATGATAAACAACATATGTTGGTGTATTTGTATTTGTATATTTATATTATCTAAAACATGAACGCTCGCAAACAGGGATATCGAATAGGGTTTCAAGTTGAAAGCGTTACCCATATACGTGAATTTCGACCTGCGTGTATTGGATCGCGCCTGGGCATAAACAAACATCGAGCAATGAAGCAAAAACACGTTTATGGTTGTATACTGTCCTTTCGTAGCAGTGTGAATTACCACAGAGTTTACTATGAATGAAAGTCGATATACTCGCATATTTCTAACACAAGTCACTGATAGCATGACTCGACATTCTGTTTACCCCTGCGCTATCAGTTATTTTTCTCGATTATCCTTTGCTAAAATACTACCACATTTTCCATGTAATAAAAAAATATTGCCTGCAGCGAAGGGATTTGATCTCCCAAATAAATGAAATAAAACAGGTACGTATGGAGATTATCGAAACATTCAATCCCGTTGTTCTTGTAAATAAAATCGAATCAAAGACTGTGCACGCTGTCTATTTATATCTGTTATCGGCGTAGACGAGGGACATTTCACCACTCTGATCGATTCTATATCATCGGTAATTCTGTGTACCACTTTTAACTAATTAAATGGCAGTACTATCATTCGTAGTTTTTTCAAACACGATTTCGAATATCCACGATTTCAAAATTCTAGAAAAGGCAAGAACGAACGTTACATTTGAATGGTCAAATGACAAGAGGCTGACCTCCACTTGAATGTACATCAGAATGTATTAAATACAATCAAATTCAATATTTCGCTTTTTTAAATTCGACTCATTTGAACAAGAGAGCCAACCTCAAAACACTGAGAGCCATACCCGATGCTTCAAAACATGAGTTTCTCTTCCAATGGCTCGAAACCAAATTAGATGAAGCACTATGATTCTTCACAAATTACGCTGACATCCTTCGAAGCCTGGCAAAAACGAAGCATTATAGGCGATCTCCTGTTCGAGGTAACGGGCTTGGCTCAGCTACAAAGAGACAATTGAAGTTACTAGCTCGCCAAGTTGAACACTTTGAGACGGGACATCTAGCCGATCATCATCGAGACATCGACTCAGGGACTGTACGATTGACGAACGTGCCAAATTCCAACAAGAACAATCCTGACATAATACTTAAACTACGCCCACAAAATGAAGGACACAATTTTAGTATATCTGTTAATTACATTGCGATTGGAAACTGTCGACATTTTATGAATGAATTGGTTGCACATAATCACTTCCAATCTTGCGTTATACTTATTCTGGAAATCCTGGTTTCGAATCATGTGTCTTGTTGTACTACTTATTGCAGTCAGTCAACTTGTTATAATGGTTCATTTAGTTAACAGAGCAGTATCTGATGGAATAGCAGCAATCGATT